GATGGTTGGGACTAGGACACTACCCTGAGAAACTATTGCAGAGATGTTCTGGAGCTGAGATATCTGACCTCCAACAAGCACTTTCATCTTGCTCTGTGCCAACTCCAACCAGCAGAGAGTTGTCCTTCTGATTGCCATTAACTCAGGTTTTGTTGTTCAGGCTCCTAGATGCCATATTCCATCAAATGCAGCCTTGATATCGAGGGCAGTCACTTGAGAAAGCCATCTGCTTCATGAACGTCCTTAGTGCAGGAATGTGGCTTTCTTAACTTGTCTTACCTGGCCTACACAGCCTCCCAACCGAAAGCAATGCCCTCTGAAATGGCCTAGCAAACCACCTGGCTGTAAGAACATAAGACATAGAACGGTACAGCACAATACAGGTCCTGTACTGATGTTGTGCCGACCTATTATCCTACTCCAAGATCAATCTACCCTGCATACCCTACATTTTACTATCCTCCATGTGCCTGTCCAAGAGTCGCTTAAAAGTCTCTAAAGTATCTGACTCCACTACCACCATCGGCAGCGCATTCCACACGCTCACCTCTCTCTGTGTGAAGAACCTATCTCCGACATCTCCCCTATACCTTCCTCCAAACACCTTAAAATTACGCCCCCTCGTAATAGTCATTTCCGCCCTGGGAAAAAGTCTGACTATCCACTCTATCTATGCCTCTCATCATCTTGTACACCTCTATCAAGTCACCTCTCATCCTTCTTTGCTCCAATGAAAAAAGCCCTGGCTCCTTCAACCTTTCCTCATAAGACCTGTCCTCCAGTCCAGGCAGCATCCTGCTGAATCTCCTCTGCACCCTCTCTAAAGCTTCCAAATCCTTCTTAGGTGACCAGAACTGAACACAATATTCCAAGTGTGGTCTAACCAGAGTTTTATAGAGCTGCAGCATAACCTCACGGCTCTTAAACTCAATTCCCCTGCCAATGAAAGCCAACACACCATACGCCTTCCTGACAACCCTATCAACTTGGGTAGCAACTTTGGGGGATCTATGGATGTGGCAGCTCACCACCATCTGGTGAGGGGCATCTGGGGTGGGTGATAAATGCTGGTCTTGCCAGCGGTGCCCACAACCCAAGAATGAATTTTAAAAAGTGAGGGAACTAAAGCTTATGCTTTCCATTCCACACAAGAATGTTCATCACATGGGTGTATAGAACAAGGCAGCTCTGGGAAGCAATCCTGCTGGAGCCTAATCACTTGAGATGTAACTTAAAATATGCATGTTCCAAACTCAAATCCTTCGGTTTTTTTTTTCAGGATAGTGATCATACGAGCATGCATAATGTTTTAATATTTACAGTCTGGAAGTGACTTACACCATTGTATGTTGTTTCACATAACTGGAACCAAACACTTTATGTAGGTCTAAATCTAAATATCTACGTTATTCCCACAGTCCAAAGATGTGTAGGTCAGGGTGAATTGGTCTTGCTAAACTGCCCCGTAGCATCCAGGGATGTGCGGGATAGGCCATGGGAAATTGTAGGGTTACAGGGATAGGGTGGGACGCTCTTCGGAGGGTCACTGCAGACCTGATGGGCCAAATGGCCTCTTTCCGCACTGTAGGCTTTCTACGGAGTGTGTAATTTTCACGTCAGCTTTGCAAAAGCTCACAAATGAATAGAATGACAGAAATTCAGGCAGCAGCACTTCAATGCAAGGAACAGAGGTTTTAAACAGGTTGGAAGGGAGGCAATGGCCAAGTGATATTAATCCAATTCCCTGGGAGATCCGGGTTCGAATCCCACAATGAATTGAAGAAAAAGCTGAAATTAAGAATCTAATGATGACCATGAATCCATTGGAAGTTGATGGAATAAAAAAAACCAGCTGGTTCACTAATGCCCTTTAGGGAAGGAAACTGCCATCCTTACCTGGTCTGGCCTACATGTGACTCCAGACACACAGCAAGTGATAGATTCATACTTGCCCTCTAGGCAACTGGAAATGGGCAATAGATGTTGGTCCAGGCAGCGATGCCCAGATATGGTGAATGAATAAAAAAAAAAGCTATTGGAAAGTAAAAATGGTCGGACTGACAGATGGGGTCATTTCCCGGGGAGAGGATTAAATTCAGGGTGCATTCAGCAGCTGGGCAGGACAGTGATGGGGCTGGTTATGTTAAAAGAATCAGATCCTGTGGCCATCAATCCGTCCTTGGGATAGAAAAAGTGGATGATCCATCTCGGCCCCCTCCAGTGGTCCCCAGCATTACAGGTACCAGTCTTCATCCAATCCAATTCACTCCATGTGATATCAAGAAACAGTTGGAGACACTGGATACTGCAAAGGCTATGGGCCCTGAAAACAATATGCTGAACATAAAAACAAATTACTAGGGATGCTGGAAATTTGAAATAAAAACCGAAAAGTTTGGAAAAACTCAGCAGGTCTGTCAGCTTCAGTAATCCAATGGAGGGGTCATAAAAATACTCAAGACTTGTGCTCCAGAACTTGCCACTCCTCTAGCCAAGCTGTTCCAGTGCAGTTACTGGTGTCTACCTGACATTGTGGGAAATTGCCAAAGTATGCCTTGTGTGTAAAAAGCAGGTCAAATCCCATCCAGCCAATTACCGGCCCATCGGTCTACTCTTGATCATCAATAACCTGATGGGAAGTGTCACTAACTGTGCTATTAAGCAGCACCTGCTCAGAAATAACCTGCTCAGTGACGCCCAGTTTGGGTTCTGCCAGGGCCACTCAGCTCCTGACCTCATTACAGCCTTGGTTCAAACGTGGACAAAAGAGATTAATTCAGAGTGAGAGTGAGGTGAGAGTGAAAGCCCACTGACCTGAGGCATTAAGGAGCCCAGGCAAAACTGGAATCAATGGGTATCAGGGAGCAAACTCTCTGGTGGTTGGAGTCATACCTGACACATAGGAAAATGGTTGTGGTTAATGGATGTCAGTCATCTCAGCTCCAGGACATCTCTGCAGGAGTCCCCAGGGTAGTGTCTAGACCCAACCATCTTTAGCTACCTCATCAATGACCTTCCCTCCATCATAAGGTCAGAAGTGAGGACATTCGATGATGATTACATAATGTTCAGCGCCACTCGTGACTCCTCAGATACTGAAGCAGTCCATGTTCACATGCAACAAGATCTGGACAATGTCCAGGCTTGGGCTGACCAATGGCAAAAAGCAACATTCGTGCCACACAAATGCCAGACAATGACAATCTCCAGCGAGAAAGAATTTAACCATTGCACCTTGACAATTTAAAGTCATTATCATCACTGAATCCCACACTGTTAACACCCTGTTGGTTACCATTAACCTGAAACTGAACTGGCCTAGCCATACAAATATAATGGCCATAAGAGCAGATCAGAGGCTTGGAATCTTGCAGTGGCTAACTCAGTCCTGACTTCCCAAAGCCTGTCCACCAACTACAAGGCACAAGTCAGGAGTGTGATGGAATACTCCCCACTTGCCTGGATGGGTGCAGCTCCAACAATGTTCAAGCAGCTTTGGACGATGCAGATCAAAGCAATCTGCTTGATTGGCACTAGGTCCTAAAACATTCACTCTCTCCACTTCTAACACGCAGAAGCAGGAGCATGTACTAGGTACAAGAAACAGAGCAGAAATTCACGAAGGGTCCATAGGAACATCTTCCAAACCCATGGCTCTACCACCCAGCACTGCATGGAACACCACCACCTGCAAGTGGATACAGCAGGGAGATGGATTACAGACTGCAGAACTGATCACAGGCTGTACAAAAGTTCTTTCACTCTGTCTCAAGATGAAAAACCCTCACAATCAACACTGACTGGAAAGAGACATTGAGAAAACAAAAAAGATCTTTACAGGTAGCTATAATATTCACTGTTATTAACAGTTTAGGAACCCAACTAACCATTTGTGGTCTCCGTTTAAAATCTAATGCCTGAAGGATGCACAAAGGAGTCTAAAACTATGCATTGTTTCCTTTTCTTTTGTACGAGAGACTGCGCGTATCGTGTCTGTGCAGTATGTAATGTGTGCCTATGTAGTGGCTGTTGTACATGATGTGTGTGAATGTACAGAGACTTTTTGCTTGACATAATGTTTTTACACTTTTCTCACAGTTAACAAGTAATAGACTGGCTTTGTTTTAAGTCAATAAATGAGTGATTGGTTCCTTACAGGAACACATATCTGTCTTGGACCTCCCATGTATGTAGATGTGACGGTCAAGAAGGCACACCAATGCCTCTTCTTCCTCAGGAGGCTTAGGAAATTCGGCACGTCCAACCTTTACAGATGCACAATAGAAAGCATTCTTTCTGGGTACATAATGGCTCGGTTTGGTAACTGCTCTGCCCAAGACCGGAAGAAAGTACAGGAAATCGTGTACACAGCCCAGACCATCACGGAAGCCAACCTCCCATCCACAGACTCAGTCTACACTTCTCGTTGCCATGGAAAGGCTGCCTATATCATCATCAAAGACACCTCCCACCCTGGTAATACTGTCTTCCACCCTCTTCCATCAGGCAGAAGATACTGAAGCTTGAATACATACACCGACAAGTTCAAGAAAAGCTTCTTCCCTGCTGTTATGAGACTGCTGAATGGACCTCTCTAATTTCAAATTTAACATTGGTCTTGCTTTTGTGCACCTCCTGTGCAGCCATAACCTGGTATGCCTTGCTCTGTCTAAGCACCCTGTGATCTATGTGTCCCTGTATGTTATGATCTGCCTGTACTGCTTGCAACACAAAACTTTTCACTGTACTTAGGTACATGTGATAGCTATAAATCAAATTGAAAGAAATCAACTGGTTAACTTACATTTTTAATTGAGGAGAGACACAGCCCCATGCTGAGATGTACTTACTGATGATCCAGGAGGTTGAAAAGACGAAAGCCCCTCTGGTTGAAACAGGTTATACCCCACTTGCCTCCCAACTCAACTCTCAGAAGTAACTCCTGACACCTTTCCCACCTTTTACGCAGCATTTGAGACAAAATCCGATGAAATTCTTACCAAAATGAGGGCCATCACTGATAGGGTGTAGTAAGTGGAATCTCTGATCAGTGACCACCATGTCAATGGCACAACCTGTAAGCAGATAGAACATGTTACTTACTGTTCAAACAAGCCAAGTCTCAACACTGTACGCAATGGCTCCATGAAAGGGGATAACGCAATGTGGTTTTCTGTGTAACATGGCACTCGTGCTCTTGAATAGAATTGCCTGTAAGATTGCACTTAATGTGTTCTTAAATGGAGAAACTATAAACACACTTGCTGTTATGTATGTGAGTTACACCAAAAGGTGGATTGTAGGTGAAATCACCACAGTCTTATTCTCTCATTAAAGTTTAACCTGAAGGACACCATGCCCCAGGTGAGGTGTACAGATGAGAATGTGGGACCTTTGTGGTGACCACTGCCAGTGCAGGAACTGAACTCACACTGTTGGCGTCACAAACCAGCCATCCAGCTAACTGAGCTAACTGACCCCCAAAGATGAATTATACAAGTCAATGTTACCGTGTGTTTCCTGCACTTGACTGAAAATATGAAGCATAAGGCAAAAGAGAAAGTGTAACTCTCCAGGCTGAAGAGCATCAGAGCTGGTGGGAAGGAGGGAATGCGTGCAAATGGAGGGATCTCAAAACACCAGGCATTGGGAAGTGGGGGTTACTGAGAGCTACCCTCTAGCCCTCGCTCCTGAACATCCTCTCCATGCAACCCCCACTCCATGAAACTCACGCCCCCTCCCCCTCATCCCGAATCTCTCTCATTACTTAACTGCAGTCTAGGACCACCATGCTCCTTAGCCTCTGGAGGTTGGGTATTTATGTTTGTCTATGCACATCATGTGTGGGCTTCTGTGTGTGTGTCTGCATGCTTGTGTGTGTCTGTGTGGGCCCATCTATGCTTCCATGTGTATGTGTGTCTGCCGGGGTGTGTGTGTGTGTGTGTGTGTGCGCGTGTGTGTCTCTGTGTGTGTGTGTCTCTCTCTCTGTATTTCTGTGTGTGTCTCTCTCTGTATTTCTGTGTGTGTGTATGTGTGTGTCTCTTCTCTCTCTCTGTA